TTTTTTTTTTCCTAATTGATTTCCAGTTTACCTTTCCCCAACATTGTTACCATTTGTATTTCATCTTATTCTCTCAAGTTGATGCTAAATCATGGGCCATCCTCCATTAGGTGGGAGATTGAGGCTGTGGAGCTCTGGTGGCCCATGAACCTGCACTGCAGTGCTGAAGGCAAGGTTTGACTCTGCCAGCTGCTCCACAAGAGAAAGATGGGCAGTCTCCTCCCATGTGCTGCGGCCTCTGGAGGGTCAGCTGGGGGTCGGTTCCGACCCGATGGTGCAAAATAACGTAATGTTCAGAGGAGGAAACTGCTCATCTCTCTCCTGTGGAGTGAAAGGCCTGATGAATTTGAACTGCCAGCCTTTAATTAGCAGCACAGCATGGAACCACCTGTGTCACTGGAGCCCCTTCAACTCTTATTTTAAAAAATTACTAATAGGGGAGCTCTGGTGGTCTAGTGGCAAGGAGCTGCAACTACAATCCCAGAAGTGCACGGTTCGAATCCACCAGATGCTCTGCAGGGGAAGGAGGGACAGTCTCCTCCTCCTATACCAGTCAGATCTGATTTGACGGTACACGCACACAAAAATTTAAAAAAAAAAATTACTGATAGTTCCATTTCCGTGCCCTCTGTCCTCAGTATACTAGTCAGGGTGTTAAAGGAGAACAGATAAGTGAGCTCTCTAAACAAGAAAAAGATAAACGTGACATCCCAAAGAGAATTTATGATTTCTGGTTTGAGGAGAAAAGACATTTGTGGAGATGTTATCTCCATGAACCATTGTAATTTGTTCTCTGGATCATCCCCAGAGAATATGAATCCCCTAAATATGAATGACTAAGGGTTACAAAGACAGTATTATGGAGATAACATGCATTTTTGATCAGAAAATGAAACTGACACAATTTTTATCTTAAAAGACCGTTCTCTTTTGCGTACCTACTGTGTGTTAGAGTTTGGCGCTCAGTGTAGTGAGGAGGTAAAATATGTTTTTAGAATGACAGGTGCCAGAGAAGCAGCTCAAGGACAGTGTAGGTGTTGGGGGGTGGGGGCTATTGAGTTTTTCTGAGGGAAATAAATCAGAAGTCATTGTGAAAATAGGAATAAGTTGAGAACCTTAAGAAAAAAGACAGGAAGCACTCAGTTCAACTCACTGCAGTCAGTCATTGAGTTAGAACGGACTCCTAGCTGACCTTCCAGTGAGTTTTCAGAAGCTGCAAATGGCACAGGAGGAGATTGCCCCTCCCATGGAGCAGCTGGCAGATACAAAGCCAAAATTGGAGCAACAGTGTGTTTGAAGTTCCAAGGAGAACACAGTGACATACTTGAGGAACTGAAAGTCCTTGGTGGTCAAAGGATAAGGAGAGAGTGGAAAGGAATCCATGTATGTGACCTTGTCTTGGGTTTCACTTCAGGCAACTCTTGTTTCCTACCTACTCAAGCAAAGATGAGACTGTCTTTTCCCATAAAGATTTACAGCCCCTGAAACCTAATGGAGCTTGCCATGACCGGTGTCACCTCAACAGCAGCAACGGGTGTGATGTTTTTTTTTTTTAAAACATTACACATAAAAGATTTTGTAAGGATTAATAGAGATAGTGCAAAGTTCTTGGCATCCAGTATTGTTATACTTGAAAAGTACAACAATAAATTTAGTAACAACAAACAGTAACTTAAAAGTTCTTGGCATCCACCCTCTACTAAAGAGGTTCTCTATTTTTTTCCCTTAAGTTAGTCCTTCTCAGTCTTACCTAGTATCCCTTGTCCAGCTTACTGGGGACTAGATATAAATGAAGGGACTTCTGGAAGCCTAGCTCGTAAGAAATTGTACTGCTCGCCCAAAGACAGTTCTTCTCTGGTGGCTCAAATCCACTAGTAGCTCAAGAAATATATATGGATGTTCATATGTGATTTACAGCCTTGGAAACTTTCTGGAGTTGGTTTTGAGTTGACAGCAGAAAACAGAAATCACCAGAAAAGTGTTTACCTGTGTTTTCTCGACTCTGCAGAGGCATTTGACTACAGAGCATTTAGCGTTATTTCATGAAACCATCTAAATCCCATTGCCACCATGTTGAATCAAAGTAAGACGGAGGCAGATAGGTTAAGATTTCCTGTCTCAAAGGGTCACTGAGCTTGATTCAACTCGGTAGCAATGGGATTTGACCATTAGTTTGATCTTTTGTGTTTTCTGCTGCTTTAGGGACAATGGTCGAATGCCCACCTTCCATACAAGAGACTGAAGTCTTCTTATTCCTAGTCCGTGTACCTGACGTACTGTTAGCATTACCCAGCTGTCAATTGGATACGTGTGTTTTACACAAGTTTTAGCCGACTGTCCAGACTGAAATAGACTAGAAAGAAAGGTCTGATTGATCAGCTTCCAGGTATCAGCCAATGGAAACCTTGTGGATCACCATGGTCCCAGCTCTCGCTGATCACAGGGAGGTGTAGCCTGGTAGCATTTGTTCCACTGAACATGGGCTTACTTGGGGCCCAGCTCCCATGGAAGCTGTGGCAGCAACAGCTCGTTCAAAGAAAGCAGTCCCCCACAGCACCTGCTACTTTAACTTCCTTTTTTTGGGGGGGGGCGGGTTTTGTTTTTGTTTTGTTATTTCGTTTATATATTAATACATATTCTCTAAGGTACACATTAGCTCTGTTTTCATCCTATTTCACCAGCGGTCTTCCCAACCACCATGGCCTCAGCTTCCATTTTTGTTTTTGAAGTTTCGGGAGGGAGTGTGTGTGTGTGTGTGTGTGTGTGTGTGTGTACACGCGCAACATGAGCCCATGGTCTCTGTCACTGTCAGAGTTCTACTGTTGTCGCCATGGACAACCCATATGCATCTGTAAGAAGCATTGTTGATCTTTTGTAACTTTCTGAGCCCCATGCTTATGGCTTAACTGCCTTTACTAAGATTTCCCAGCAGTTTCACCTCCCACATTGCCAAGTATGCTCTGAGATGAGAGAACTAGTCACCTCATGAGGCTGTGTGATCATGACTTAACTGCATGTTCCACTAAATGTGCCCCTTGAGGACAGGGAGAAGCCCCTGAATGAACAGTTTCCCACAGTTAGGTGAAACAAACATCAGTGTACTGGCTTCCTGCTATACTTGGAAGTCTGTGCATGATTTGTTCTTTTAGGAGAGTGAGAAGAATTTACAGAAGGGTTAGTAAGTGTAAATATGGTACATTTACTGTTATTAAAGCCATCATTGTTCACAGAGGAAATATTTGTCTCCTGCCTATGTGGCAGCCACTAAACAATAATGCTGAGCATGTGAAATGTGCCAGTGTGGCTAAAGGGAAGTGGATTGAAGTCAGGAAAGGAACAAACCCACTATAGTCAGAAGCTGTGAACCTTTTTTCTCCTGTGCTTGAAAGTAAGGCTGTTCTCTACTTGAGAAAATTCCAGGAAGATGCTTCCTTTTTTGCCTACCTATATTTGTTGGGGAGCTCTGGTGGCCTAGTGGTAAGAAACTGCAATCCCGAAGGCAGGTGGTTCAAATCCACCAGCTGTTCTTCAGGAAAAGGATGGGCAGTCTCCTTCCATGTGATTAACTACTAAAACACCACTGATGGGTCAGCTATGGATCAGTTCCAACTTGCTGGTACTAAACAACATATTTATTGTATTTTGGTCGTAAAGCCTTATTCGTCACTGAGGAAAAGTTCTTAACCAAATAATTGGAATCATCTTGGATTATACAGAACTGTCAGCTATTAGTATTGTTGAGGTTCTTGGACAGATGTATAATAAAGTCTGTGACTGTCTCTAAAAATGCCCCCCCCTTTTTTTTTCAGCCTTGTTTTGAAAGAAGAAGCATCTGATTACCTTGAGTTGGATACAATTAAAAATCTTGTCAAGAAATATTCACAGTTCATAAACTTTCCCATTTATGTATGGAGCAGCAAGGTAACGCTATATTGATAACATGTATATTCCCTTGGCTCATACACCTAAGACATAATTAGGAAATCTATGTATCATTGCCTCGCTCTCTTTTTTTAAATATTTAACATTTAAAAGACATATTCAGGATAATAACTGAAAAAAATTCTATTCAGGAGTTTTTAGTACAGACCTATTTTTGGAGCTGTAATTTTATTTCATATTCTGTAGACAAAACCCAGACTGCCAGACAAATGAGTTTAACACTTAACTCTTCTTCAACAGACTGAAACTGTTGAGGAACCTGTGGAAGAGGAAGAATCAACAAAAGAGGAAAAAGAAGAATCTGATGATGAGGCTGCAGTTGAAGAGGAGGAGGAAGAAAAGAAACCAAAAACAAAAAAGGTTAGTCTTCACTTGTGATGCATATTCACTTGCGATAGGCTTAATTCACTGGGCAAGTTCAGGGCTTCGACCTCTAAAAAAAGCAAAACAGAGGTGATTTTTTACAAAGTTTTCTGACTTACATACTGACTTGCACTAGTGACGTAAAATAGATTTTGAGTTTTAATATCTTAGAAAGTAAAGTTTTCTTCTTCCTTTTTTGTCATGTAGAGGATGACTACAATAATCATTTTCTGACATGCTCAGGTATTAATATAGGTGGAAATGTTGATGGAGGCTTTTGAGGAATGATTATTGTGAAATGTCAGATATGGTTATGTCATGAGAAATAGTAATTAGTACATACATTCCAACTCAAAACACCATTTTCAAGAAAGAATATCAACAATGGAGAACAAATCTAATTGGCTTTATTTGTTAAATAATTTTTCTGCTTTCAAAATTTGGGGTCCATTTGGCAGGAACCATACTAGAATATACGTATCTTTTAATGATTGAAATACTCTTCATATGCCATAATTAATTACTGTCTTTATTGTATTTGATGAGTGTTAAAGAGACCAAGCAAACATTGTTATTTCAGGTTGAAAAAACTGTCTGGGATTGGGAGCTTATGAATGATATTAAACCAATATGGCAGAGACCATCAAAAGAAGTAGAAGAGGATGAATATAAAGCTTTCTACAAATCATTTTCAAAGGTAAATCTTATTTTGGAATACACTAACTTTGCTATTAATGAATAGGTAGTCTGTTCCAGATTTTTCCAAATAAGAGAATCTAATAAAATTGGTAGGTCAATTAGCATATGTGTGCCTCCCTGAGTATAGATGAGATAGTCATGTGTCTAGAAAAAAATCTTACAGCTTAATCCTAATTAAAATAATATTTTTTTAAATTTTGTTTTCAGTTTTGTTTTGTTTGTAGGTTTTGTGGCTATTTTGATTAAAATTCCCCCTTAATCCTTGAGAGTTCATTAAAGATAGTCTTTGAGAGTAATGTATTTTCAGAACTCAGCTGAAAATATCGTGGCTATTAGAATCCACAGTAGTACTTAATGTGTTGATGAAACATACTGTTGGAGCAGAAGTGTTTAATACCTTGCTGTCAAGTCGAGCGCAACTCTTAGCGACCCTATGAACAAAAGACCTGAAGCCTTTCTATAACTATCATTGATTCTCAAAGTTCATAGTTTCTAGCGGCATGTGGTTTAGGAAGTGGATGTATCTTGTAGCTACTTCAGTACAGTTGATTTCCTGCTTCGTTAATCATAGTTTTGTTAAATGACTGTTGAAGAGTCTCATGGCTTCACTAGAAGCCTGGCTTCACAGGGGGCTATTAGCAACACATAATGTGTAAGAACCTCCTCCATAGTTAGATATTTGAGTTCCACCACAAAACCTTTAACATGAAATCATGTTACTAAATGACTCTTAATGTGATCTCTAAAAGACTTGATAACATCACACTCTTAATTTTACAATCATACACTTAAAGAGTAATTAATTATGCAGTTGGGGTGAGGGAGGTTTAGCCTTTTTTTTATATATATACACATCTTACATACGCTTTTCTTCACACTGGGTCTTTCCATTTCCTTTACCCACCCCTCCCTGTGCCCATCAAAATGTACGACCCTATGATTATCCCCCTGCCCATCCTCACCCCTCTGCTCCACTCCCTTTCCCCCCTTGGATCCTCATCCACATTCTTCTAGTTACCTTTCAGTTTATATAATAATGGGTTTTTTAATACGGTATTTGTCCTTATGAGACTGAGTTAGTTCACTTACCATAATGCTCTCCAGTTCCTCCCAAGTTAGGTAGAGATTTTCAAAATCATTGTTCCTGCATGCTGCATAGTGTTCCATTGTGTGAATGTACCATAATGTCTCAATTCATTTGTGGTTGGATATTTGGGCTGTTTCCCTGTTCTTGCGATAGTGAATAACACTGCTATGAACATTGGTGTACAAATCTCTGTTTGTGCCTCAGTTTCTCTCATTTTCTCTGCATATATTCCCAGCAGTGGAATAGCTGGGTCATATGGAATTTCTACGTTCAGCTTTTTGAGGAAACACCATACTAGGGTGATTTTGAGGGGTTTTGTTTGTTGTTTGGGTTTTTTTTTATTTTATTTTAATAATTTTAATGAACATTTACAGAGATTTTGGATTTCCATTCATTGGTTTTGAGGTTTTTGTGAATTTTTTTCTCTCTGAGATTCCAAAGCTAGCACTGACAAAGGTTTTGTTTTGGGGTTTTTTTATGTGTTGTTTATTGTTATTGTTATTATTATTATTATTAACCACTTTCTTCCTCTTCCCTTCCCCCCTTCGTCTCCCCCTCCCCCTCACAACCCCACAATCCCCTCCTTGTTCCAGATTGTTGTCATATATATTTATAAAGGTCTTATTACTTAATAGTCCTCCCCTTCAATTTCTTTCCTTTTTTAAAATTATTTTTATTTAGTAAGGGAATTTCTGTTAGATGCTAAACTGAATGTCTGACCAGTAATTGTTTAGCCTTTGCCTGCTTTGGCCTGTGCTTTCTGTAGTTACTAAGATATCAACTTCCCATAGGAAAGTGATGACCCTATGGCCTATATCCACTTCACTGCTGAAGGGGAAGTTACCTTCAAGTCCATTTTATTTGTGCCCACTTCTGCTCCACGTGGTCTGTTCGATGAGTATGGATCTAAGAAGAGTGACTACATTAAGGTGAGTCTTTAAGGAGTATAGATTCGGTTTAAAATTTGAAAGGATGCTCACCAGAAACAAGTGACTTTTTTGGTCTTTCTTTAGCTGTACGTGCGCCGAGTATTCATCACCGACGACTTCCACGACATGATGCCCAAGTACCTTAACTTTGTCAAGGGTGTTGTAAGTATCTGAAAATGGAGGTGGGTGGGGAGGGAGGGCCAGCATTCATTGTTCACTTTTGCTTTGATGTATCCCAGCGGGTTTCTTGTTCTGGTTTTGTTGTGCTCACTGAATTTACTTTTGCGTCTGAAGGTGGACTCTGATGATCTCCCCTTGAATGTTTCCCGGGAGACGCTGCAGCAGCACAAACTGCTGAAAGTAAGTGCTTCGCGGAGGAGGCTGGCTACTGTGCTTTTTCAGAGGACAGACTCCCTTAAGGGGAGCCACTAGATTGAGTTTAGCCCTTGGCACTTTTAGTTTACTCTTAAATTATTGGGTCCTGAGAAACTAGTTCAACTGCTGATTCTAATTTCAATGATTAAACTCCACTCAGTGACACCTGGGAAGGTCAGCCTACTTCTCTGCTTCCAAAAGATCACAACCTTGAAAACTGCATTTCTCTCTCTCCACATGGGATGGTGTGACTGGGAACTGGCTCAGTGACCGGTAACCACACAGGAGCGCTCCCCCGATCGACCCCTAGACGAATGGCAGCACCAGTGCCCTGCCTTTGCATTTGTTTTTCCCACTACTCTCCTAACACCTTATATAATGGACATTTCCCAGATATTTGAGATGGCACTCTATAATTTATTCGTTTTAGGTAATTAGAAAGAAGCTTGTCCGTAAAACTCTTGATATGATCAAGAAGATTGCAGATGAGAAATACAATGATACGTTTTGGAAAGAATTTGGTACAAACATCAAACTTGGTGTAATTGAAGACCACTCCAATCGAACACGTCTTGCCAAGCTTCTGCGATTCCAGTCTTCTCATCATGCAACTGACATTACTAGTCTAGACCAGTATGTGGAGAGAATGAAGGAGAAGCAGGACAAAATCTACTTCATGGCTGGGTCCAGCAGAAAAGAGGTGAGGAACTCTAAACGCCACACATCGGGCTGTGCAGCTAGCAATTTCTAGCCAAGTCTTGGGGAAGCAATAGGGAAACTTAATTGTGCTTTGTGAGTCATGAACAGGAAAATCAAAAAGATTCTCTGTACTCTTTATTTTCCATCTGTAAGATGGAGTTGTTGATACTACACAAAAATAGCTATGAGGAAGAACTATGTCCAAACTAGGCTTGAAAAAAATCTTTGCTTAATTTTGTAGGCTGAGTCATCTCCATTTGTCGAACGACTTCTGAAAAAGGGCTATGAGGTGATTTATCTCACGGAGCCTGTAGATGAATACTGCATTCAGGCCCTCCCTGAGTTTGATGGGAAGAGGTTCCAGAATGTTGCCAAAGAAGGAGTCAAGTTTGATGAAAGTGAGAAGACAAAGGAGACTCGTGAAGCAGTTGAGAAGGAATTCGAGCCACTGCTCAACTGGATGAAAGATAAAGCCCTTAAGGACAAGGTATTCTGCGAATTACAACGTGTAGAATGTTAGCACCTGCATTTAAATGTTTAGATGTTCAATTTACATATGTTGGAATCATTTAAGTATTTTTATTTGACTGGAAAATTAAACTATTCAAAGACAATGTCCCCTAAGCAATTCTAAATCCAAATGAAAGGTTTGCTTATTACAAGCTTCTTTGTTTATGATCTTAAGTAATGAATTCTTAAAAAGTTGAAATCCTCTTATGAACGGCTTTAACTAGTATTATTTGTGGATCTCTGACTCTTGGTTTCTTATCCAAAGATTGAAAAGGCTGTGGTATCTCAGCGCCTGACAGAGTCCCCATGCGCTCTTGTGGCCAGCCAGTACGGCTGGTCTGGCAACATGGAGAGAATCATGAAGGCCCAGGCCTACCAGACAGGCAAAGACATCTCTACGAAGTAAGCATCGTTGGAAAGGCCCTCCCAGGCTGCTAGTGCTTATCCAGCCTTCCTGGGGGACTTAATGCCAGCTTCTGTGTACAGACAAATAGTAAACCATTGCCACCATTGTCTCTACTTTTTATATATAGAGAGAACAAACTGACAGTAGGGTTCTTGATGCACGGTTAATGAAAAGGTCTAGGAATCATAAATTATTGTTTTATACTATCTTATATTCAGATGGAGAATTTCTTAATCTGTTAAGCAAATTAATTTTTTTTTTTTTTTTACTGTATATTATATGCTAGGATTAGTATCTGGACCTTTTTATATTACAGGTGAAGTAAAGGATGAAAATGTGTTTGAAATAAGTTAAAGTTTATCAAACAAAAATAATAAGTAAATGAATATATAATTTCCCAAATAGTATACCCATAAAACAGAAGGCGAAAGACCAGCAAGTTAGCATTTCAACCCAAGGACAAAACCTGACTTCAGTACCCTCTGTTTTCATGGGCTTAGGTTTTATAAGCAGGGAGTAAGTCTTGGAAATTACTCTCCACTTTTTTGTACTTTTACTCCACTAAGAATATCTTCTTTCTTATTTACTACTTTGTCTTGCTTTGCCCCAAGACCTCACTTGAAAATTCTTCTGAGAATAGTCCCTCCCCATTGTCACAATTACAAAACTACTTTAAATACAGACTACATGTATTCTTTTATTCAGCATATATTGAAATTTTCTTTTTCATGAACACTGTGGCTTACTGGTATATAATGTTTTCACTCTAAAATGTTAAACTTTGTTTTATTTATGTCTTTTCTCCTGACAGAACATAAATTCCAAGTAGAAAAGAACACTTTAACTGATAGCGCATTGCAACAGTTAGCTTCCAGACAGGTCATGCCCATATAGTATTACTTCAGTAACTGGTTAATGATCCTATTATGTCTATACACTGCTGGTCAGAGTGTGTGGACACAATATACCAGTTATCTTTGTGACATTCTTGCTCTTCAAAATCCCAAAGCAAGTTCTAGCCATCAGGAATAAAATGGTTCCTTTCACCTACCCATGCTACCCCCTTAAAATGTAAATAAAACTAAGCTGTGATCAATTTAAGAATATTGATTTCCCCATCCCCTATATTGTCTGTGTAATTAGGAAAACCACAAAATAAGGAAAACTAAGGCTCCTAAAAAGTGATTGTTAATAATAATATATGTTTTCTATCCCTTTACAGTTATTATGCCAGTCAGAAGAAAACATTTGAAATTAATCCCAGACATCCCCTAATCAAAGACATGCTTAGACGGGTTAAGGTGAGTGATCCTGCAGCCGTCTTCCTCTGTCTTTTAACCTGTATACATTGTGTTTTGAGTACTTACCAAGATTGGCTTCTCCCATTTCAGGAAGACGAAAACGACCAGACAGTTTCAGATCTTGCTGTAGTTTTGTTTGAAACAGCAACACTGAGGTCAGGATATCTTTTACCAGACACAAAAGCATACGGAGATAGGATAGAAAGAATGCTTCGTCTCAGTTTAAACATTGACCCTGATGCAAAGGTATGTATTTTCAGCCTCTATCACATAACGTGACTTTTCTTCTTCCTTTAAGAGGATCCATGATAAAGTTATGTAGCGTTGAGAAGATTGGTTAACTTCTACTTTATGTGTGTGTCTAAACTGTCAAATCAGGTCTGGCTGGTACAGGAGAAGATTGTCCCTCCTTCTCCAGCAGAGCATCTGATGGATTCGAACCATGCACCTCTGGGATTGCAGTACACCTTGCCACTAGGCCACCAGAGCTCACCTTCTACTTTTAAAAAAATCACTTGGGAGTGTTTGCATCCCCACAGTGCCAAGCACACATAGTCAAAAATTCCCCTTTTTCTGGCCTTTTGCCTTTCTCTTTTCTAGCCTTACTGAATAAAGAGAGTTGTTCTCTAGTTCCTAATAAACAGGAGCCAAGTTCATTAAGGTCTTAAACTTTTAAATGAGTAAAGTGGAAATAAGAGTCATGAGTCATGATTATTAATGGGCTCATGAATGTGACCTAAATGTTTTCCACAGGTGGAAGAAGAACCTGAGGAGGAACCTGAAGATGCAGCAGAGGACACCACAGAGGACACCGAGCAAGACGAAGAAGAAGAAGAAATGGATGACGAAGAACAGGAAGCCACAAAGGTGGGGCCCTGAATCCCAGAGTGCCATCTGTTAACAGAAGTCACACTGGGTTTTAACAGGAATCTTCCTAAAACTAGGCGTCTAATTGTTATTATTTATTGCCATCAAGTCAAGCACAACTCATGGCGGCCCTGTGAACAAAAGGCCTGAAGCCTTTATATAACTATCGTCAGAGTTTTCAGAGCCATGTGGTTTAGGAAGTGGATGCCACTCCTGCTTCCAAACCTGTCTTAAACTGAGAGCTCCACCAAACACATTGTCTACCAGGGGTAATAACCATTAATGCATTTGACACCTCTGTGGCACAAAGTTCAACATTACAGGAACCCCAGGTTACCTCAGTACAGCATATTGACAGAAGAGTGCTGTACCACTTAGAAGAGTATTCCTCCCAAATATAATAACAACCAACTTTTAAATACAAAGGCCCTCCTTGAGGTCTTGTTGACTCTAAACAAGAGGCTTAAATTAAAAACACCAACCAATCCAGTATGTTGTTATGTGCCTTTGAGTTGCCTGCAATGTATAGCAACTCTGTGTACAGCAGCTCTAAACCCTTCCCTGTCTGAGCCAGTCTCACTAATTCCAACACACCAACCCCTATTGCCCCAGATACTGTATCAATCATCTCATCCAGGATCATCCTCTCCTGTGCTGTCCCTCTACCCTTCCGAGCATGATTTCCTTCTCCAAGGACCAGTCTCTCATGGACACAGACCCAAAGTATGTGAGACAGAGCTTCAAAATCCTAGCCTCCAAGGAGACTGGGTTTCCCTCTCTCCAAAACAGGCTGATTTGTTTTCTTGGCAGTCCATGTTATATTCAAGACTAATCTCCAGCACCACAACTTGAAGGCATCCATTCTTCTTCCATCATCCTTAGTCATTGTCCAGCTCTCTGAATGGCCTGGATTAGATGCACCTTTGTCTCTAGGCTGGTCTGGGTTTCAGATTTGTTGGCCTCCTCACACAGCTTTGGGAACCCATGGAGTAACACAAGATGAGCATCTAATATCAGAAATTGAAGTAAATCACTTCATGTGTGTGCATTCTTTCTTCAGAATCCAGCAACTCAGATTTTTGTTCGTTTTTAAGGGCCATTGATCTTGGTGGGTTTAAATTCCTTTGCAGATAAGCCAGATGAAGTTCTGCCTTAAACTTGAACTATCCAGGAAAAAAGCTAGGCATTTAAATTGCTTTTTCTGTATTTGAATCATCTGGGCACTAGGAATTTCTGTGTGTTTAAATATCTTTTTGTTTTTTTCTTTTTTTCACAGCAATCTACAGCAGACAAAGATGAACTGTAAATTAAACTCTTCACCATTTGGATCCCGTGTGGAGAGGGAATGTGAAATTTAAGTCATTTCTTTTTGGACAGACTTGTTTTGGATGCAACCCCACCCCACCCCTTCTCCCCTGCACTGTAAAACATTGGGATTGTGGGTCACAGAAAGAAGTGGGTTTTTTAGTTGAATATTTTTTTTTTAACATTCCTCATGAATGTAAATTTGTACTATTTAACTGACTATTCTTGGTGTAAAATCTTGTCATGTGTATAAAAATAAAAAAGTTCCCAAATACCTGGTTTCTGTTCTGTTTTCATAATCCATTGTGGGTGACACAAATATTAAGTACTTTACTACTAGTTGATAAATTAGTGATTTGAATCCACCCAGGGCACCTCAGCAGACAGACCTAGCAACCTGCTTCTGAAAGGTCACATACTTGAGCTCCCTGTGGTCACCATGAGTCAATCAGACTCTTCACCAGCAGCTAACAACCTAATACTTGCCTGGTAGGTGATGGTTTGTTTTTTGTTGGTTTGTTTTTGTGGTTTTTTTTTTAAATCATCTATCTTGGATTTTTTTCCTGTTTACTGCTGTTGTTGATTGCTGTCAAGTTGGGCACAACTCATTATGAACAAAAGGCCTGAAGTCTTTCTATAACTATTGTCATTTCTCAAAGTTCCTAGTTTCCAGAGGCATGTTGTTTACAAGAGGAAATAACGCTCATCAAGGGAGAAGAGACCATTTTCCTTCTAGAATTACAAATAGTGCATGCGGATTTCCCCCACTCCAAGGAGGCAGAACTTAACCTCATCTCTTTTTGTATGTGGATCGAATTTACTGGCATGGGTCCCAAGACTGGAGTATGAAGTGACGAAGTCATGGCAGTGGAAAAACTGGCAGAGGTGGTGGTGTTATGCATCCCAATAAGATGTGATAAGAGGGAAGCACTTAACCTCTGTCATGGTCTTTCAACGGCCAGAACTCTGCCTTAGGAGAAAACTCAGGCAGACCCAGTGTGAGGAAGCAGGCAAGAAAATAAATTGCTGTCCTCAAAAGTTGTGAAAAACAAAACCAGAAGGAACATTGGAACTAAATGCAATGGACCCTGCTTAAACCAAAGAAATCCAAGTTGAAAATAGTTAAGAGATTGCCATTTGCTTGCCTCCAAAAACCTGCTGGAGGGGTCAGCTATGGGTCAGTACAAGAATATGGCAAATACAGGGCAGAACATTTCATGGAAACAACTGAAAGAGATGTATGCAACTTTATAAACCTGAAATTATTCTAAAATATTTCCCCCCAAATCTTTGATTCTACCACCTAAAGATAGCTATAGGCATTGAGGAAATAATAAGCTGTTTTTCCTAAAATACTACTGCTCATGGAAGAAAATGTCATTTCATTGGTTTTGTAGCATCCTATATGGGAAGCCAAATTTCTTATCAAATACTGTATGAAAAACCATATGCTTGTTCAGGAATTGAAGGAATTACACGTTTATAAGTTAGGATTTCTCTTGTGACAGATTATAGGAAATGAGATGTTTCCTGCAGAGAAGAGACAACTAGGGCCCCCCTATGACGGAGTGTTAATATCTGTGAAATACTTTCTTGAGCTAAAGCATTAGGTTGACAATAGAGAACAATTTGGCTTCATTTACAAGAGAATTCTCTGATTTGCTTTCCCTGATTCTCAATAAATACACAGAGAGGTATGGCTTGAGGTGCTTCAGTCCATGGAACTGCTGGTCCCCTTTTATGCTCTCTCTTATCTCATTCCTGGTTGTCTGCCTGATTATTAATAACTATAAAAATACCCTCAGTCTGCAACAATCCTACTCTTGATTTTTTTTTTTTTTACATTTGAGTTTGAGAAGGTCACGTGCATTTTTACTTGCATATTCAGAGATCATCGTTAAGTACCTTCAAGGTGGACTCAACTCTTAGCTGACCCTTCAGTGGGTTTTCAGAGGCAGTAAATGATAGAGTGACTGTAGCAATAGGCTCAAGTGTGTCAGGATGAGGAAGGCACAGAATAGGGCACATTTCAGAGCTGTTCATATGATCGCTATGACTCATACTGAACAGCAACTAAGAACAACAAATCGCACAGGATGAAATTGCCTATCTTCCACTGGGCAGTTGGTGGATTTGAACAGTAATCCTTTGAGTTGGCAACTCAATTCCTTACCACTAACTCACTAGAGTCCCCTCCAATGATTATTGTTAGGTCCCGCTGAGTCAACTAACTGACTCATAGCAGCTCTATGAACACTGAGTCTGAAATTTGCCCTATTCTGTGCCATCATTTCTGATAAACTTGAACCCCCTGATACAGTCCATATCAATCCATTTCGAGAGTTTCCTCTCTTTCTCTGACTCTCCACCTTTCTTTTGACATTATTTTTGCTGTCCATGAGCTACTGTTCAACACCACAACTCAACAGCACTGATTGTCATCCTTATTTTGCCCTCATAACTTTCAGATGCATAGGAAACAACTGAAGACACTTTGGCTTGAACCAGGCATATCTCAGTCTTTAAGTAATACCGTTTCTCTTTCACACTTTAGAGAGGTCTCTGACAGCAGACCAAGGGCGTTGATTGTGGAACTCAGTAGTAGTAGAAAATTCTATGGAACTTTTTATTATTTTTTTTTTCCAAATGAGTTGATTTAATTACAGGTGGCACAGAATTCTGGGCATAACAAAGACTCAAGACTCAAGAACAGATTCTGACAAGAATCTAGACTGCATTTACTTTAACTGCACAGCCAAGATCAGAATGGCTGAATGAGAACTGAAGAGACAGATATCACATGGTTTCTTTTCCTTCATTGTTTTACAGAAGTTTATTAAATGTACAGCAGGCTCCAAGACAACACTACGTTCTCTCTACAGGTGGCAACCTATTATAGTATCCAGATGTTCTAAACAGGAACAGAAGGTTCATCTTTATATCAGTCACAAAGAATGGCTTATTTTTTGCCAGATTTTGTCTTTTCACCCAAGGCCAAGGGACTTTGGCCCATGGCCTTCACTTTTAGTTACTCAAGTTTCTTCTGGGTTTTGTTTCTGCTTGAAAATCTTACTTTGTTTATTTCCTGGCCAGCTAGGGTTGTTTCCAGGGCTGCTTCTTGCCACCTTTGCAGTCAGACATGGCGCCGGGCTGCCTCCTCCTCAGACCTGCACTCTGGAACTTTCTTTTATGCACTAAAAACTTTTGTTAGAGACCTAACAATTTTCCTGATAATCTAGGACACTTTGGGTTTTCATCATTTCTGTTTCTTATATACTCACTTTTCCCTACTGTAAATTCTTTTTCTAGTACTGTTGTTATGTGCTGTTGAGTCACCTGTGACACATAGCAACCCTATGTACAGCAGCTCTGAAGCCTACCATGTCCTGAGCAAGTTACACTGACTCCAACATACCTACCCCCATTGCTCTAGTCACTGTATCAATCCATCTCATCTAGGTCTTCCTCTCCTACGTTGTCTCTCCACCCTTCCAAGTATGACGTCCTTCTCCAAGGACAGGCCCCTCCTGGCCATGAGCCCAAAGTATGTGAGACCGAGCTTCCGTATCCTAGCCTCCATCACTTTGGAAATTATAACTGTGATAATTGAACATATATATCTTTTTCCAATAAATTTTTTTTAAAAAAATCTTTTCTTTCCCCCACTTAGGAAAAAAAGAAAAAGGCAGCTCAACCATATATAAACTATCAAGTACAACTTTTTATGAAAACGTGTTACATTAGTAGTTGTAGTGTTTCCAACATTCATTGTCTGCCATGAATGAATAAAAAGTTTTAATTTTGTTAGGATATTAATGCATCAGGATATACTTTATTACGAGCATCTAAACTATGGTTCTTTCCAAAAACCAAATTTATTCCCATTTGGATTCTTAATGACCCTACAGGAAGCTCTAGTGGCCAAGTGGGTAAGGAGTTACCCTGCCAAATGAGAAGCAAGCAGTTCAAATCCCCCAGCTGCGCTGAGGGACAAAGATGTAAATTTTCCTCCTGTGTAATTTATACACTCTAAAAACCCACTGGACAATCAGCTATGAGTCACCTCCAACTTAATGGCACTGAGTTTTGAGAGTTCAATGACTCTAGAATAGAGTATGGTTACCAAGGCTATAAATCTTGGCAGAATCAGACTGCCACATCTTGTCACTTGGAGTGACAAGAGTGGGTTTGAGCCACTAACTTCTGTCAGGCACTTAACCATTGTACCATTAAAGTTTCTTTAGTTTTGTCCTCAAAAGTTCTACATTTCCATTGCTCCCAATGCAGAAAAAGGCAGCACAGTTTTTTGTAAAAACATCTGTTATGCGCATCTGACACAAAAATGGAGCTAATTCAGTTATCAAATAGGTTGCAAGAGGCCAATCATTTTTAAAAAAACAACTTTATCAAGTTACCATCTTGTACAATTTTTAACATTTGGCCAGGACGGACTAGTCTTTGGAGAAGTCCTCGGAAGGGTGGAGGGACAGGACAGGAGAAGGAGACCTTGCACAAGGTGGATTGACACAGTCTCTGAGGCAATGGGATGAGGTGTGTTGAAGTCAGTGAGAATGGCTCAGGACAGGGCAAGATTCAGAGCTATTGAGCATAGGGTCACGATGAGTCACAGGCAATTTGATGGCACATAACAACATTAACAAACAACATATAACTATCGCAGATTAGATTCCCCAAAGCAGCACTCTGGAATGAGTATAGTGTGCAGGATGTTTATTATGTCCTTGGATTGTCTGTGGAAGCAAGGAAAATGGGATTGGGTGGGGGAAGACTGGTGCTGAAGGGGACCACAGGCAGCCTGAGCCAACCCCGTGGGAGCTGGAGCTCAGCTGGTGCTCATCAGAGCTAGCCCTGCTCAGGTGATGATAATAGCACAAGGCCTTTCTCTATTCCCACCTGGATCAATCAGTGGATGTGACCCAGGAAGGATATGACTTTGAGTGAAGCTCTGTAGAGATTGTTTGTAAAACAATCCACGTGGGGCTGATACTCAAAGGCTGCCCACTAACAACCTGCCCAGTGCTGGGGTGGCAAACTTTCCTGGAGGGACAGGCTTTCTACACCCATCAAGAAGTATGTTTTTCACAATATGTCAACTTCGTGAGAAGAGGGGGATGGAATACCTTGGTGAAAGTTGCCTAGAGTCAGCTCTTACATAAAGATGGCATTTTAAATCTTAAAATTTGAGCATTTTCTTTAAATAAAAAGTTTTCACCTTGATGAATGCATGGTCTTATAAGACATTTGGGTTAAAATC